TTATTTTATTTTATTTTATTTTATTTTATTTTATTTTATTTTATTTTTGAAATGGCTTCTGATCGTGTTGTCTAAGGTGGCCTTGAACTCTTCGAGGTAATGATCTCTGCTTTCTGCCCCGGAGTAGCTTGGAGTACACCTGCCTACCACTGCACCCAGACAAGACAGCCTTCTCAGCTGATGTGCAAATCTGACCACTTCAGCCCCAGTCCAGTCAGCCTGAAAGGAGAGATGAGTGTTTCCAAAAGATCATGTTACCGTCGTTTAGAAAAGTATCACTTTTCTTCTGCTTTTCATAACTTGCAGGGTGTGAATTAAAAGTCCTGCTTAATCACAAATTGTGAGGCTAAAGTTATAAGAGAGCTATAAAATGAAAACCCCCTTACAAAGTGAATAAAGTGTAATTAATAAAATAAAATAAAAAACTACCAATAGCAAATGGGCACATGAACTGAATAAACAATTTTCAAGAAAAATAAAAAAGAACACAAGTGGCCAATAAAAAAAACAAAACAAAACCCTCTAATGTGAAAGCCTGACTTGCCCAAGGACAGATAACTTCCTGGAATGCTGATTGCGGTTCATGTACGGTAACAAGCCTCGTGTGCTCACTTCAGTAAACAAGGTTGGTTGCCCCAACTGCACAGGACGTATTTGGGTATAGGTAAGTGCCAGGTATGTAGGCAGAGATGTATGTAACCTTGCCGGTTTTGCCTTTCTAAGAACCTGACTAACATAATCCGGGGCCATTCTCCAGGAATCCCGGGTAGGGATCTGTCCAGTGTCCATCTTCCTGGTCAGCATTTAAAAAAAGCTTGCTTCAGTTTTGGCTCAGAAATTGTGGCGGTGGTTTTATTCTCCCCCAGAGGGACTAGCAAAATCGCAAGGGGAGTGAAATGACTGCTATCCTGTGTGAAATATCATCATCCTGTCTAACGGTCCCCGTCACCAGCTGGGGTGATTTACTGAACGCTGAATGCATGCGTGTGAATGCTGGAGTGAAAACCACATGCGCGCATCATGAGTGCTGGAGTGAATGAAATCCACGGGCACGCATGTGAGTGCTGGACTGTCGCTAGTGGTAGAGCACTTATTTAGTGTGTGAGTTTAGTGCCCAGTAAGAAGGGAAAGGGCCAGTTGATGGCATACTCATGTGGTTTATTGAGTTCATGCAAAATGGAAAGGACCATTCCCTTGCACGCACGCACGCACGCAGGCACGCACACACGCACCCGAGGGAAGCTAGGGAAAGAGGCATTGTGCAGCTGGCTAGTCCTTTAGTAAGCATTTCCTGAACTTCCTATCTACTTTGGGCAGACTTGTCCATCCCACCTCCTCCACTTCATGGAACTTTCCCTGCGCTGCCCACGACCTTTCCGGAAATGGCCAAAAACAATCATCAAAAGCAACAAAGGTAGCAACCGTGAAAACATCGGTACCAAAGGAGTGCCCGCAGTCCTGGCCCTGCGATGAGGAGTACTCCAGGCAGCCGGCTCTCTCTTCCAGGGGCGGGCAGGGTGCCCCTCCATTCATTGGCTCCTGCTGCACTGAGCGCCTGCGCACACGCGTGGTGGGTTGGCAGCGACCCGCACAGCCACTCCACGGACTCCATTCTCCCACAAAGCAAGGGCGAGCTGGAAGACAGAACGACACGCTCACCTGAGTAAACCCACACCACCTGCCAGATCGTTCCTGCCCACACGAACAGCAGAGTCTAGCTGTGTAAACTTCGTAAACTTTGCCGTGACCTGTATGTGGAAACACAGCAGGTCTCAGAGACGTGAATTCCACCCACCCTGTTGGTTAACTGATAAGCAGGCACTTCTGAGGAGATCCTGAACCCTGAGGGTTGGTCAGGGACATATATCCAGGTAAATTTCTACAGGATACTTCCTTACGCTCCTGGGATTACAGACAATTTTTCTTTTTTCTGGTCCTTGGTGGTAACTTTTATCCCAGCCCCTGATTCTAACATGATTTTCTTTCCAGATTATATTTTCACTTGTACATATTTATGGAAGATGTTGTGCTGTTTCAATGCACATAGGGGATGGAGAGATGGCTCAGTGGTTAAGGGCATTGGCTGCTCTTCCAGAGGACCCAGGTTCAGTTCTCAATATACATGTACAATGTGCAATGATCAGATTAGTCATTGGTAAATCAATTTTCTTAAACATTGAACATTTCCTGTATGTGGAACTAATAGCCATTTTGGAATATAGGATTCTTGACCTCCAGCTGTGCTGCAGAACGTGGGGTGTTAGTTCTCATAACTACATCACTATATCTGGTAGCTGCCCTTCTTCCATTCCTTCTTCCTCCCTTCCCAGAACATTATTAACAGTAAATACATTCATTGTAGAAAACAGGGAAAATAATTATAAAAACCAAAAAGGTATCTTAACCACCCATAATCCCGATATTTACTGATCAATCCTTGTAGAAAATATGTTAACACATGGGACACAATAGTAATAAAACAAAAATAGACACATAGATCTGTGGAATAGAATAGAGGACCCTTATATAAGTCCATGTAATGACAGCCACCTGATTTTTGACAGAGAAAGCAGAATGACGCACTGGGGGAAAGACAACTGTCAAGGTCCAAAAGCCCCTTCCCCTAAAATGGCAGTGCTGGTAACAGTGTCCTAACAGACAGACTCTGAGCCATGACCTTCCCCGCAAAAGTCAACAACCTCTGGCAAGGGCATCTAGTACTGGATCAATTCAGAAAGCATGCATCAGCTCAGACCTCAACCCTACTGACTATCTTATAAAATCTGCGTGATTTTCCACCATTTCGCTCTTCAAATGAGTCTGGGAAATTGGACATCTCCTTACAGAAGAATGCAACTGGATCTTAATATCTCTCAGTCTGCATAAAAACCAATTCCAAGTGGATCAAAGATCTCAGTGTTGGCCCTGAACTTCTGAAACTGCTATAAGATAAAATAATGAGTATGCCCAAAAATATGGGCACCGACAAGGACTTTCTGAATAGGACTCTAGGAAACAAGGCCAAAACTTGACAAAATGAGATCTCACAAAATGTAGAGGCTTCTGTACTGCAAAAGAAACTGTTAATGGAGTGAAGAGAGAGCATACAAAATAGAAGACAATCTTTGCCAACTATACATATAACAGAATTGGTGCCTAGAATACACAGAGAGCAAGATATACAAATAACAGGATTACAAAATGGCCTATGTACTGTCTGCCATTAGCAGTGGCCAGAAGGGATAAGAGACAAACTTTTTTTTTTTTTATTAACCAGTTTTCCTCTGCCTTTCTATCTCCTTTCCCCCATTTGGTTTACCTTTGCATCTCACCTCCCCAATTAAATAAATGCTACGGCTGGATCTTGGGCAAAATAAATAAATAGATAAATAAATAAATAAATAAATAAATAAATAAATAATAGGTGGTTTATGAAACTGAAGAGTTCTCAAAAGAAGCACAGATGACTAACATGCTTTTAAAAGTGCTCAACATCCTTAGCCATCGGGGAAATGCAAATTAAAGCTACTTTGAGATTTCATCATACTCCAGAGAGAATGGCCATTATCAAGAAAACAAACGACTGTAAATGTTGGCAAGGATCTGGGAGACTGGCGACCCTTATTCAGTGTTGTAACTAAAGTGGAAACTGGCACAGCCAACATGGAAATCAGTGTGGAGGTTCCTCAAAAATCTAAAAATAAAACTGCAGGTTACTCAGCTACACCGCTCATGGGCTGGTTACCAGCTTCTAAGCCAGACCACAACCTCTACCTGGGCCTCTTTGGTTTGTTTTGTGTTTTGCTTTCTTTTGTTTTGTTTTGTTTTGTTTTGTTTTGTTGAGACAGGGTCTCTCTACTTTGCTCTGGCTGTCCTGGAACTTACTTTGCAGTCCAAGCTGGCCTCGAACTCATAGAAATCTGCTTGCCTCTGCCTCCCAAGTGCTGGGATTAAACTCATGTGTCACCACACCTGTAACCAGTGAAGGCTCTGGCATCTGGTCGTTATAGATGCATCCCTGAACTAGATGCCAAAATGTTGTTTTCTATAAAGCAGGCCCCTGTTGCCCTCACATTCAAGCCCATAGTGCTTTTTACGTTCAATCCCTTGGACTTTTGAGAACTTCTGATAATTCATACATGAAAACGTCTTTGTTCCCCTGCATACTCTAGTTGAGAAGTCATGATTTCGGGAGGACTTATTTGATAACATACACCTTATCCTTGGTATGAAGAGTGTATGCACAATCCAAAGTTCAAAAAAAATTAAAGTATTTTAAAGCATATTCCATTTACTATCTAAAAACCCATTGGTATCACACACATGTCAGCTACCTTCAGGCACAAGAGCAACCATGTTGCTCTTCATGCCCATCCCCACCAAGGAAACACCCTTTGGGAAATCAGTAACATGTCCCTTCTTGCTATGCTCATCTCCAGGTGAGCCCGCCCCATTGAGAATAACGTATCTCAAGGAGGAAGCACCATAGATCGAATATTGATGGCTTCATCATTGTGACTAAGATACTGAGCACATCTGTGGACCACTTACAATTGTTTACTCAAATTCTTTGCCCATTTTTGAATTGAGATTTTAGCTTTCTGTTGTCTTGGAATTGAAGAGTGAACAGGAACTCCTTGTCAACTTGATAATTTTCATATATTTTCCTCCGTCCCTGTGGTCTGCCTTTTTTCTTCCTTGATGGTGTATTTTCATGCAAAATAATTTTTTTAATCCGATGAAGATTGACTCACTTATTGCTGTCGCTGGTATTGCCTGTCCTCAGTATTGGGCTGTGTATTGACTCGCAACTCCAACATCATGAGGAATTTTGCCAATGATATAAAGTTTATAGTTTGTTAGGTCTTTTACTCGCTTTAATATCTGTGCGTGGAAACAAGCATACATCTCCACTCACTTGCATTTGAATATCCAGTTTTCCTGGCACCACTTGAAGATACCACCCTTTCTCTTTCTAGTGGCCTTTGCACCCTGTCAGAAGTTACTTGACTGGTAGCCAGGTGTGGTGGAGCCCACCTGTCATCTCAGCACTTGAAGGCTGGGGCCATTTTTGGTTAGATAGTGACACTTGTTTCAGAGGTTTCTACCTCTATAGTGGGGAGGGTGTAGTCACACACAAAATTCCCCATCACGCCACCAAGGAATCAGAGAAAACAACTCTCTGGAAGGCATTTGAAGAGTCTCCCAGGCTGGTAACTGGCGCTGGATGACTCCTCTGATCTTCATTCTTTCTTTGCTTCACTTCCTCCCCGTACTTCATCCCTGAGTCTAGCTCATCCTTTCATATCTAGAACCTGAACAGCACTTAATGTCTGGATTTTAAAATGCATTTGTTTCCAATTTTAAAATTTGGACAGGGGCCTGGACAGATGGCTCAGCAGTTAAGAGCACTGACTGTTCTTCCAGAGGATCCAGGTTCAATTCCTAGCACCCACACGGCAGCTCCCAACTATCTGTAACTCCAAGATCTGACACCCTCACACAGACATTCATGCAGGTGGAACACCAATGGACATAAAATAAAACTAAATAAATAAATGAAATGAAAAAATAAATAAAATGTGTACAATGCTATAAAATAAAAATTGACCATATCATTAATTAAGAATTTTGCAGTGTGGCCGTGAGTTTTAATTTATTCATTTATTAAGACATAACACTGGGGAGTATTTTCTGACATAGTTTAGCCTTTTAGGAATTATTTAAACCTGTGTCTTATGCACAACATTTGTTTGGCTGGTTTGTTACCATTTTTGAAGTCTTCAAGAGTCACAGAATCACTGCATTAATTCTTATTTGTATTTGTTCAGGACAAAAAAATTATTTGCTTTTTTCCAATCCAATTTTCAACCCTCCATAAAGAGCTGAGTACCAGTCCCAGATACTCATAGTCCCAGATACTCAAGGGCTGAGACACTAGGATCGCTTGAGGCCAGGAGTTCACCAACAGCCTGGGCAAAGTTAATTGCAGCCCATCTCAAAATAAATAAATAGATTAGTAAAATAAAAGTCTTATAAAGACAAACAGAAGTTCTAGGTTCCAAGACAACGTCTCTATGGCTTCATTCAAAGACAAAATGGGAGATAAATGAAATATATGAATTTAGAAACTGTTCTATAAGATTTTTTTGCTAGATTAGTCTTGGAGATTTATCTGTCTTACACTGGAAAATTTTATTCTTGATTCTCTTGTGAATTTCTGGATATTTGGGTTGAAATTCCTTGTAGAGCACAAAACATTTTTTTGGTCCCAGAGGTTAGAGGTACAGGAACCCCTGACAGATTTATTATAAGCCCTATATTATGGCCCCATGACACATGTTTCCTGTTGAACTATTTCATTAGCGGCCCTGCCCCTTTCCCACTAAAGCTTATCTTTATAGACAACATACCAGAATATTGTTTCTTCAAATTCAGTCTTCTCTATCTTCACATCTGCTTTTACCAGCTGCTAATGGGCTCTTCCACTCTGTCACCTAATCAGCTGGCGCATGATGGCTCTGGCCTCCATGCTGCTCAACTGCTTAACAACTAAAATTTGATGGCATCATCCCACTCCCTTCCAGGGCAGGAAGCCTAGATTGAATGGGTGCAGGAAATACCATGATGTCTT